TGGAGGAATGGTGCCAGGCTCCACTCAATGAGTGTGTTTACTTTGCATCTACTATTAGTGCAAATAGTACTCTGTCTGAATTCTATTAAAAAATTGTGTGTTCTCGGGCGGGGAAAAAAATTAAAAAAATTGTGTGTTCTCATTACCAACACTGTATCAATGGGTCTTTAAAGAACTTTGTAGATAGTAAAGTTCAGTAAAAATTTGTGAGTTAATTAATGAAACTTTTCTTCTGGTCTTTACCTTTTCCAATATATGATAAACTGGTGCCTTAGAGGCAACTTCTAGCCAGGAATCACCCTCTATCCCAGCGATTTTCAGCCCTTTTCACCTCATGGCACACTTAAACTAATTACTAAAATTCCGCAGCACCAAAAAATATAGTGTTTTTTTTTTTTTTTTTCAGACTGACAAAAAGTGTAGGTATAATTTTGATTATTTATATTGGGTAGTTATTGTTGTATTGGCTGTTGTCATTTTTTTATTTGAAATTTAAGGGAAAAGGGTCAGTGCCTCTGGCTAAGTAGCCAGGTATTGCATGTTTTAAAAATTCTTGCAGCACATCAGTTAGAAATTGCTATTCTTATCTAATTTTCCAAAAGTTTACCCAGAGAATCAATTTGAGAATCAAATTATCTCTTCAGAGTCAATCATTTCTCAAGAATAATTCTTAAGAATAAATAATAATAAAGTGCTTGCTTGTTTGATTTCTTTCCAAATCAGTGCTTTTTATAATAAGTTAGTTATTGCCTATAATCTAGACAGGGCTCAAAAGAACATCTATATTGGGACCTCCAACCTGAGTCAAATACAGTTTCTACCACTTGGGCAAGTTACTTTATCTCAGTCAACATCTCTGAAGTTATAAGTCTTGCCAAAATATATAAGGATAATTGTGTCCACTTAATCGATTTGCTGTGAAGGTTAGATAAAGAATGTGTGAAAAGTGCCTAGCTCAGCATCTAGAAAAGTAAGTAGTCAGTAAATGTTAGCTGCTGTTATTCCCATTTCAGTTTTTGCTTTGGTTTTTCTCTTACACATGGCTGCTGCTATACTGTTTAAGAACTGTAGAGAAAATGGGTGGGCTAGCTGATGTGGCACGGGACATGTAATTTTCCTAGAGAGCAGTTTTGAGCAGTGGCTTCTTTCCCATGTCCCTCCTGGCCTGCTTGCCAAGGGCTCACACCCCTGGGTCATTTCTTTACCTTTTATCTTCTCCACTTCCCCCACGAATGCAGTTAGTTTCACTTTTGGTGGCTGTCCATCTCCTACCCTAACTCCCAACTTTCCTTTGGAACTACAACTTCTAAAGTGATTGTTCTTCTCTAGCTCAAGGTTTGACACACAATGAAAACGATGTAATCTGCTGGAGTACTAGATTTTCTTTGCTTGGATTGCAAAAGACGTTTTGCATCAAGATTGAGGTTTGTTATTACTCCTTGCTAAGTAGTGTACATGTCCTAGCATGCCAGGGTTCTCAAATGATTTGTATTTCTCTTTGTTTCTTCTGTGCCTGCATCTTTGAAAGAGTTTAAAGTGGAAATAATGCCAAACTCTAAGAAAATACCACATTCTCATCACTATAGTGTGGATCAACTCATTGTACTTCTCTGCTTTGCAGTTTTCTCATTTCTAAAATGGGACTAATAATTTCTGAACTTTTACCTTACCATATTGTTGTTATAAAATAAGGGATGCAGTGGCCTGAAAGGTCTCAGGTTCGATTCTGGTCAAGGGCATGTACCTTGGTTGCAGGCACATCCCCAGTGGGAGGTGTGCAGAAGGCAGCTGATCGAGGTTTCTCTCCCATCGATGTTTCTAACTCTCTATCCCTATTTCTTCCTCTGTAAAAAATCAATAAAATATATATTTTTTAAAAAGATAAGGGATGCAGCCCAACCTGTGTTGCTCAATGGTAGTGCATTGACCCATGCACCGAGAGGTCACCGGATCAATTCCTGGTCAGGGCATATGCCCAGGTTGTGGGCTCAATTCCCCATGAGCATGCAGGAAGCAGCCCATCTATGTTTCTCTCTAACTCTCCCTTCCTCTCTCTGAAATAAAAAAAACACATTCATTTATTTATTTTATTTATTTACTTATTTATTTTCATTGATTTCAGAGAGGAAGAGAGAGGAGAGAGAGATAGAAACATCAGTGATGAGAGAGAATCATTGATCGGGTACCTCCTGCAGGTCCCCTACTGGGGATCGAGCCTGCAACACAGGCATGTGTCCTTGACCGGAATTGAACCCGGGACTTTTCAGTCTGCAGGCCAACGCTCTATCCACTGAGCCAAACCAACTAGGACAAAAATATATATTTTTAAAAGGGTAAGGATTGTAGTTGGTTGTACTACATTGTCTTGTACACCAGAAAGATTTTGAGTTGTTTCCAGTTGGCGCGTCTGATGGATGTAATCTCTCATATCTCTCTCTTTCTTTTTTTCTCTCTCCCTCCCAACCTCCCTCCCTTCCTCTTTTTTTAGAATCCTCAGGTGGCAATTAAAAAAAAAAAAAATCCCTGGCTGGTGTGGCTCAGTAGTTGAGCATTGACCTTTGAACCAGGAAGTCACGGTTCAATCCCTGGTCAGGGCACATGCCCTGATTGCTGCCTCGATCCCCAGTATGGGGCATGCAGGAGATAGCCAATCAATGATTCTCATCATTGATGTCTCTCTCTCTCTCCCTCTCTCTTCTCTGGAATCAATAAAAATATATTTTAAAAAAAGATAGGGGATGCAGAGAGTTTGATAAACTAGTGCTACTGGATGTAAGAAGTATTATTACTCTCCTTCTTCATTTATTTTTCCAGGTTGGGCCAGGCTTTGGGGGAATGGGTGCCAGATTCTGCATTTGCTTATTTATTTCCCCAGGGCCATGCCTTACCTAAGGGGCAAGCCTGGGGAGACTCCTAAGCCCATATAGTCTGTGATGGGCTTCTATGATCTTGCCACCCAGGAAGGTGCAGTACCATAAGCCAAACCTTTAGTTTGCCAACTCTCAGCTCCTCACAGCCCTGGTTCCTATAGCTTGGTAATGTGGGCCTAGGAAGCTTCCCTTCTCTCTACTCTATTGGAGACCCCAAAATTTTTTTTGTTTAATCTCTCAAAACTTAGGTTTATCTGCCATAGATACATAGCCAGGCTGTCAGAACATTCTGGGAGTTCTCTGAAATGAGAGAATACAATACTTCTAGCTACCCCTGAGTGTCTACCATGTATCAGGCACTATAGATAGAATTTGTCTTGTTTAATACTAATAGCATCCTTTGAAGTAGATATTTATCACTTGCAATTTACTAAAAAGAAAACTAAGGTTCAAAAAAATCTCTTATTTCAAGTCACATAGCTAGTAAGTGATCATCATACCACAAGGCCTCCAGCACTATATAGGAAGAGGGACTATATATGCTACAGAGGAAAATTCAGATTTCCAGTCCTGTGATTTACATGCAGATCCTGACCCTGCTTGTGGGATCTGGGGCAAGTGGCTTTCAATTTCTCCAGCCACAGATACTATCTCATTAAATCTTAACCACAGCCATGTGACCTCTCTCTTGCTTTTTTTCTTTTCTTTTCTATTCTTATCTGTTTACATTTGAGGAAACTTGGTAAAGGTGAAATAATGTGCCCAAGGTTACAGAATAGAATAGTAAGTGTCAAAGCCAGAGCTCAAGCCTATTTGGTGTGTTCTCTCTCTCTCTCTCTCTCTCTCTCTCTCTCTCTCTCTCTCTCTCTCACACACACACACACACACACACACACACACACACACACACACACACACTTCTCACTGCCAGCTCCTAAGATGTGGTGCATCACTCAGGCAAACTCACAGCTTTCAGGATGCTAGTTAAAAGCCTATAGGAGCCGAAACCAGTTTGGCTCAGTGGATAGAGCGTTGGCTTGCAGACTGAAAGATCCCGGGTTCGATTCCGGTCAAGGGCATGTACCTTGGTTGTGGCACATCCCCAGTAGGGGGTGTGCAAGAGGCAGCTGATCGATGATTCTCTCTCATCGATGTTTCTAACTCTATCCCTCTCCCTTCCACTCTGTAAAAAAATCAATAAAATATATTTAAAAAAAAAAAAAGCCTATAGGAGCAAAGCTTTGTGCTCTTCCACTGTTTCCTTCTTTTCCCATAATCTCTCCTTCTTAGAAACCTTACTAAGGCAATATAAACATTTACAATTCAAGAAGGTTTATGCAAAACTTAAAAACTGCCCAGCACACCCCACAAAAGTCTGGGAACCTGCCTCCCATATTTTCTATAAGTTTGCACTGTTACTCTAGCAGCAGGGTGTAGTGGGTAGTTTTGAGGAAGTTCTTCCTTAAATTCTTCTTTATCAATAAAATCTTGTAAGATTATCATAAAGGTTAGAGATGATAAATATTCGACAGTAGGTAGAGCCTTAACAATAGATGGCAGTTATTTACCCTGGCAGCAAGAGCTAATAGAAACCAGACTGGGAGTCAGGAGTCCTAAATCTATTACTCTCTTATCCTGTGACCTTGGGCATGTGAGGCACTGTCTCTAGGTAGACTAGATGATCTCTAAGGACTCCTTTCAGCTTTAATATCTGTGCTTTTACAAATGAAAGTAATAATGCTTGTTTTTAAAAAAATCAAATTGGACAGAATTATTTGAAGTAAAAAGTGAAAGACAAAATACATTCCCAAGGAAATATTTGTTACCACTTTGTGTGCCTTCCACTATTTTCTGTGTATTTTAAATATATACAGGTACATGTAAATATATGTGTACACATTGTATGGTATGTATGTGAAACACACTGGAATCTAGAATACATACTGTAATAGGACTTGATCCTTTTACTTGCTTTGGGCATTTTTTCTTGTTAATACTTGAAGATATAACTTATTCTTTTTAATTAGTGTTTTGCATATTAAGTGGTCCTCTAGTGATCACATGTCATGATTTTTAAAAGCAAATGTACCAGTACATCCACTATGTTGAATTTTTAAATTTTCTCTTTAGGAAAAGAAGAAAAAAAAACATAGAGACAAGAAGTCATCTGACTCTGACAGTTCAGACTCTGAGAGTGATACAGGCAAGAGAGCACGGCACACATCAAAGGACAGCAAGGCATCCAAGAAGAAAAAGAAGAAGAAGAAGCACAAGAAGAAGCATAAGGAGTGAGAGTGCAGAGCAGAGGGGGTGGCTGAGAGAAGAGGGACCCAGGAGTCTTGTCCCCTTGCAGCCCTGGCTCCTACACTCAGTAGTGAGAATATGGCCTCCCACCCCATGACTCTCCCACTGGGAGATGGCTTCCTCTCATGCTGCAGGAAGCCAGATGTCAAAGGCATCTGCCTGAATGAGTTGTTTCCTTGTCACTCCTGGTCCATTTGCAAGTGACCCCTGCAGCTTACCCATCCATTCACCCAGTTTCCTTCATTCAGCAGGAGATCCTTTTACCCTCTCCAGCTGCCACTGCCAGAGCTTGATTCCTATAGAGGAGTCCAGGCTAGAGCCAGTTACTGCTGTGGAAGGGAGTCTGGCTGTAGTTGGAGAACAGTGCCTGGCCCCTCCCTATTGGTTCCCCCTGGGCTGGTTGGTGGGTGATTTCTGCTGTATCCAACACAGGGGCAGATGGATGGAGATGGGCATTCTGAGGGAGAACCTAAGAAATGGTGCTCACTCTTTCCATTCCCCCTAACACGATTCTGCTATGCTAGAAGTGACAGCCCATGTTTCGCAGCCAGAAACCATTGTAGTGACTGAGCTTGTGCGTGACATTCTGCCAGACCACCAAACCAGACAGCTCAAGCTAAGTTCATGGTTTTACTTTGTGTTTAATACTAAGAGTGAGTGGATTCCACTTCAGGTTCCTGCTTCAATGCCTGGCACTAAATGAAAGTGTGTTTGGTTTTAAACTTACTGAAAAATTTTATTGCTATTATACCTCTTCCCAAGTAACTTACAGACTTAGAAGTCACTGAATCTACAAGTTGACAGAAAAACATTTAATATGTAACCTTAGACTGTGGAGAAAGGTCTGCTGAGGTTCAGAGCCAGGTGTACTAGCAGGTCACGGCCTTCTTATCACTAATAAGCCCTCTGAGCTGATCAGATAACCAGTGAAATTTTACAACTGGGAGTAATGTTCTGTGCATTGGTGGGAGCTCAGCAGTCATCTTGACCAATGGGCATTTCTTCCCACCACAATGGCACAAGCCTGGATCCATTGTCCTGAGCCTGAATTCTGGAAAAAGAGACTACAGCATTGCACAGTGAAGGACAACTGGCCAGACCCAAGGGCATTCGGTGCAGGTGGGCTCAAGGTGAGAGTCCAGTAGCCAAGCTTGGGGAAGCCCTGCCACTGATTAGTCCAGGTTGGACTAGCTCATTTGGCTATGAAGAGGAAGTAAATTAGGCAAGGTGTAGATATAGCTGTTATATTTTGTATGTGTAAGGTGGTCAGCTACTGCCGACCCCGAGACTGTCCACTTCACTCTCATCCAGTGCTGCTTCCTGAGTGACCTTCAGGCCGGTGTTTCTGCCCACTCTCAGACACGGAAACAGGCTCATGGAGTCATGTCACCAAAGGCAAAAGGCAACGGTGGCCTTGGCTCTGCTTTATTGACCTGAGCACTCTTTGGATGCAGTTAAAAAAAACAAAACACAATGGGAGCTGGAACTGTATCCAGGATGGTGCACCTGACCCCAGAAGTATCCCCCCCCCCCCCCCCAAGGTGGATTTATACAAAATGCCAGAGGAAAAGACGAGGCAATCTGGTGCTGAGTCCAGGGCTAGCCAGTTGGCAGAGGAGCAGTCAGTGAAGCAGTGGGCAGGTCATGCTTCTTTCTCATAAGTGCGCGTACACACTACATTGCCGTGGGTGAGCGTCTGAAAGGAAAGAGAGAGTCCGATTGGGGCAGGGGTGAGGGAATAAACATATTGGAAGTACTCCATTCTGGTGGGGAAGCCCTCTGCCTTCATCCTAATAATCATTTATTGACTGCCTACTATATGCCAGGCACTTGACATATATTTTTTCTAATACTTACACCAGGTTTTTAAGTTATGCATGTAATCTCTCTTTTAGAGATTTGGGAAAATGAGTTTTGAGAGAAGTAAGTTGGTCAAGATCCATAGTGTTTCTTTTTCCCTTGCACCATTCTTCTCCCTTCATCCTTAATGCCTAAGATGGCGCCTAGCATGTTGTGTCTATACAACAGGTGAATACAAATATCCAGAGATTCATAGGGAAGGACTGTGCTAGGCCACCAACTTCCTTTCCTTCCCTAACTTGGATAATCCCAGGGCCAGAGTCCTAAACCATCACCATCCAGCCTGTCATCGTGGAGCCAGGCCCACGGTCTCACCATAGCCGATTGCCCAGAGTGTATTTGTCCTGCATATTGCATCTCTGCCAGAGGCAGGCACCTCATTCTTAACTCAGCAAGAATCTGCTCTGTGTGAGTGCAGGAGTGCTCTGACCCACGAAGATCTGCCATGAAAGGCAGAGTGAAACCTGGCCCTATGGAATTAGGAGATGGAGACCAAGGCTGACTGCTATCTCTGCCCCCAGGACTGAGAGTGTTCATTCAAGTCTACATTCTCCAAGTGAGGCCCCCCCAGGTTTGTCCCTGAACATACAGGTCACCAGCCTGTTATTGCTCAAAGGCTTTACATGCGGCAGCACAGTCCTAGGGAGGAGAGGGAATGCTGTGATAGAAGGTGGGAGCCCTGCTTTCTACTCTGAGGAGAGGCAGCAACACGGGAAACGTAAGGCTGTGGAGCACCTGCTGTCTCCCTCCCATATCAGTGACGCTTTGTACTCTGCATCCACTGTCTTATTCATACTTCCCAGGGTTAGTGTTGCTATTGTTGCAGTTGGACTCAAAGGTGGTTTGTTCAAAGTCATACAACCTGTAAGTTGAGATTTGAACCTAAGCCTGAGATGTGAGTCCAAAGCACTACACAAAAAATTCCTACCCAATATCACCCCAACATGTTCTCCACCCTCCACTGTCCCAGCTTCCAGTGCTGCCAGGGGGAGACCTTGGCTTTTTACGACATGCTTGGCTGAAGGGGCACAGTGGTAACCACTGGGGAAGGCTCCAAAGTTTTCCATCTTACCAGGACGAGTTTTCCATCCACAAGCTCCCGCACAAGTTTTGTTTCTTGCCCGTCCCATTTCTGCACATGGACAAGTTTGCCTCCATCCATCGTCACGGTGGACTGTGGGAACGGTAGAGGCCAGAGCTGTAATCTGAGTCAGGGTTGAGGGACAGCATGGGGCCTGGTCACTGGGCCACAGAGGACTCAGCCTCTGGCCCAAACTAATGATGGTAGGCCCAGAGTTCAAGCAGCCCACCTCCAGCTTAGCCCTGCAGGATATCCAGCTCACCTCCAGCCTCTGCTCCAGTACTGCCTGGCTGGGAAGGGCCTTTGGGTACTGGACAAGCAGAAAAGCAGGTAGTGTGGCAGACAGCCTGGCTCTGAAAGGTGCCACCAGTGTTCAGACGGGCATTTATCCTGTATTCTAGGTGAGGCCACAGCCCCAGTGCTCCTAAGATAAGGGTCATGCACCAATCTATATCCCTGGGAAAGACTGGCGAGGAGAGTCCGGAGACTCCAGCCTAGTGATCACATATAATGTCTAAAAGACCCTTGGGGTTGGGGGGTATTAGAAAATTGGACTCCTGCTCTGTATTCCCACCCCTCTCCTTAGTCCACATCATGTGATCCCTTCAGCTGACAAGTGGGCAGCAACTGCCAGGGCCTGGGACTGGGTGTCCTTGGAGTATTCCACAGCCCTGGCCAAATGCCCACTTGGTCTTCTGGGTACTACCAGCCTGCATCAGCTGGTTCTCACTTGGCAGCTCTCCCATTCTCTAGAAATTTAATTTTTTTTTTGGGGGGGGGGTGGTGGTGGTCTAGAGCGGGCTAAGAGACCCTGACTGAATAGAGCTCAGTAGAAGAATCTGAGATGGTTGTGTTCATATGTTTGGGGCTGGGAGGGCTGGGTGGGGGCTGCTGATACAGCCTTATTTCTAATTCCCTTAGTTTTTGCCCATTCAGCAAATTATTTTTAGCCAGGCATCCCAGGGAACTACTGTTGCCTTTAGTTGGGGTTCTTGGCCCTCCAGGTAGGCTAGTTCAAGGAAGTATAGGCATGTGGTAGGGGCAGCCACTTCCCAGATAGGCTGCATCTTTAGGCAACATCCCCTGCAATTCTGACTGAGCTCCAGCTTCCTCCACAGGGAAGAGACCAGATCCTTCCCGGTGGCAGCTGTGAGGAAGGGAAATGGCTGAGGGCTGAATGATGAGTCTAGAGGTCAAAGACCCTTAGTCCTCTTTCCCAGGCCTAGCCCAGGGGAGGCCTGAGGGAAGCTGCCAAGAAAGAGCCACTGGCGGGTGGAGCCCTGAGGACGTGGACTAAGGCTTGGTCAGAAGATAACTACAGACACATCCAGGACAATGCCCTGTCCAGATCATAGCTTCTGCCTGTGGACTGGCGGCACTGGAAATACTTCTCCAGGGTCATTGGCCAAGTCCTGGAGGAGGAAGCATCTGAGTGGATCTCACGCCTTGTCCCCAGCTTCCTCCCTTGCTGGAGGCCAGGATGACCTGCTAACTCAGTGGAGGGCCCTGACTGGGCATCATTCCGAAAGCACTTGAGGTAACATCCATGGCCACAACACTCCCCCATCTTGGAAGAGGAAAGAGAGTTATTGCATGTCGTTCACAAGGTCACGCAGCTGGAGCAGGAGCAGACACTGAGGTCAGAACTGGCTCTGCTGCTCGCTCCCAGAGGCAGCTGGTGGATGCTTCCCCAAAATGGAGGAAAACAGAACAGGACTAATGCACCCAGCACTGGAACATTCCAGTAGAGGTTTTAAGGCTGTTGTCTATTTCAATTCCCCACTACAATAATAGCCTCCAAGACTACCAGCTCATTCCCCTCAGGGTCTCAATGTCTTGCATGCCCCCTTCTTTGACTCACCTTGACCTTCCTGTCATCTGCCGTTGTCTCATCAAACTCCACTCCCAGCTTGAAGCTGATCTCCGAGTTCTTGAAGGTGCTTTGTGTTTTTATGGTGATCGTGTCCCCATTTATTTCGATGACTGTGGTAGGCTTGGTCATATTGGCCACCTGCCTGGTAGCAAAACCCACACCTAAGGGCAGAGGGAAGGCTATAAGTATAAGCTGAAGGAGAGAGGCGGGGTGTAAGGAACTCAATGAACAACTCAGGCTGGATGTGGGAAAGGGAAGGAGAGGATGAGGGCCTTCCAAGACTGTATGGTCTTTTTAAAAAATTATTCAGTCTTATGTGGTGAAGAGACACTGTTGATCCCATTAGACAGATGAGAACTTAAGGGACAGGCATTACACAGCAATTTGGTGGCAGAGCTGAGACTAGAATAACTTATTGAGTGCTTTCTGTGTTAACAACTGTGTGTGTGTTACCTCATTCAATCCTCCCAGTCTTCCTGAAGGGTTGATATATTATCTCCACTTCTCCAGGTGCAAAAACAGAGAAGCCCAGGGTCACAAATCTGGACTGTGACTGCAGAGCTCACCTGCTCAGCTAAAGTGCCTCGGGCTGGAGCATAGGGCTCCCTGGTAGGGCCCTGAGCATCTGAGCATTTACAGTACAATAACCCATGGAGGACATGGGGTAAGTTCCTAGCTGCCAACAAGTTCTATGTAGCCAGGCACATTTGGGGACTTTAAAAGACAGATCACCCACCCCCTCCTGACCTAAGTATAGATTTCAAGCCACAGGCTAAGGAAGAAATGGGGTCTTTTCCTAACAAGGCTTTGGGATAAGAGTGTTCCACCTTTGGAAGTTTCTACCTTGAGATGCACTAGTGCTTTTGTCCCCCATATATGGCAACAAGACATTTTCAAAGTCTCCTATGCCAAATGTAGAAAGTAGGCAGAAGGGTTTGATGGTCATTGTACAGATTTAGGAAAGGCCTAAAGTGGTAGTGCAGTCAGGACTTGGATCCAGGTCTCCTGGCTCCTGGTCGAAGGCCCAATGGAGATTCGCCCCCTCCTGACCTAAGTATAGCTTTCCTGGGTGCTGGCAAAATCCTAAGTGTCCTGCAAGAGAGTGGAACAAAGAGCCCTTAGGCAAAGTCTAAGGTGTGATCGTGTGATCTGTCTTTTAAAGTCCCCAAATGTGCCTGGTTGGCAGCTAGGAACTTATCCCATGCCCTCCATGGGTTAATGCACTGTAAATGCTCATAACAGCCCTGAGAGGTGTTTTATTGTTTATTTGACTGGATCCAGATTTGATCTAGGCTCCAAAACTGTTTGCTATTCCTGGGCCATTCTGCCTCCTGTGATGTGTATCTGATCACTGGTACTACCTTTGCCCCCTGAGAACCCTTAGTCTAAAACAATGTGCATAGGCTACCTGTGGAGCTACTTGCAGTTGGCCCACTCAGCCTGGCCGGTGGGGGACTTTGGCCTTACCCCCCGCTGTCAGAGTGAGTCAGGCCAGTTCCACTGGGCAGCAGAGCTGGGCCTTATCACTGCACAGGGAGCTCTGTTTGCCTAAGACCTACCTGGAGGAGCGGGGAGGGAAGGAGGAACTAAACCAGGAGAAACTGAGAATGTCACCTGGCTGACAATTTGGAAGACTTGGGAAGAGGTGGGCTCTGCTTAGAAATGAAGCTGAAGCTATTTACTGAGCGCTCAAGAGGGGCTTTTCTCCCCCGTGGGTCTCAGCCTTCCTACCAGTATAACAAGAAAAGTAGACAGGTGGACTGTCAGCCCCTCGCCCAAGCTGGGGCAAAGTAAGGGAGCAATGGTTGGAAGGCTATTGCCGCCCACTTCAGGGAGCAGGTCTTCGGTTGGCATCTGCTGTGGGAGACGGAACAAACCCTGGGCATTCCAACTTCTCCAACAGCTCAGGAGTCAGTAGCCGTAGTCCTGAGGAACAGGTAGGCCTCAAGAGCCAATATTTGTAATCCCTATTTCAGGAAAAGGTTAGGAACAAAGGTGAGAGGTGCCTGGAGGGGGTCTTTTCCCCTTTGGGTATCGGCTGAAATCCAGCCCGCCTTCCCTGGGAGGAAGGCATGGAACATGGTGTGACCAGGATCAACAATCCGGTTTTCCCGACCCCAGCCTGGAGATAGATCTTCTAGGATAACCTCATAGCTGGGGATTTCAGGAAGGGCTGAGGTCAATCATTAGATAAGCATTTCCAGCCACTCCAGGGCCCACAGGGCCCGTATGGGAACTGATCAGGGTTGCAGATCTATAAATCTAGGTTTTCTGCTTTGCTGTGGAATTTTTATGACAGTTTCTACTTTCTCTGGGTCTCAGTTTCCCTGTCTGTTGAATTAAGCAAGGTATAAGAATCTCACTTGCAAGATTCTTTGAGTTTTTACTCTTCAGCATCCCAACACCACGCCTGCCTAGAGCAAAGACCACTCCCCTCATGTACCTCTCCTGCCCTGTGGTTCACAGGTCTTGGCCTTGCTGCACCCTGGGAGTCCAATGGCTTTCTCCCCTGAGCCCCTCCCCACTGAGCGGCTAGGCCTTGGGTTGTCACTGATGCTGGGGCTTCTATCCCCATCTCACCACTAGGCTCAGACCCTGATTAAATCAAAATCAGCCTGGTTACACACCACTGCAGGCAAGGTCAGAGACGGGCTGGTGAAAGGGCATCCTCCTAACCCAACATGGAGAAGCAGGGGCTGTTGCTAACTGGGTTCCTCGCTCACCTTCTCATATACCATTGCTGGGGTTACCCACTCTTCCGTCTCCCTCCTCCTGGGAATCCCCTGCTTCTGCAGGCCACAGTACACTCGCTGCCCGCACCATTCCCTTCCTGTGTTCACAGTTTCCAATTCCTAAACCGCCCGTGCTCCTCTTCTTTTCTTCCCCTAGCCAGCCTCCCACCTTTTTTATCCATACCCCTCTTCCCGAACATACACCCCTCTTCCCGAAAAGCCCCTCTCAACCTCCGATTCACCGGCTCATCCGCTTCCTTGAGCCTCCCCACCTGGGAATCCGCCAGGTTCAGACCCTGAAAGCCCCCACCTAACAGGCCTAGCCCAGGTTGCCGCCTTTTCCGGGCCCCTTTCCCCATCCAACCTTGGCCAGGAGGGATGCAGCAGGCTCGCAGGGCACCAGCCAGGGCGGGAGCGCTGCGCCGGACGGGCACACGGCCAGACCCTCCCCAGCCCAGCATCCCGAACCCCGCTCACCGATGGACTTCATGTAGTCATCGAAATTCTTGCTGTCCACCAGCTTCCAGGTGCCTGCGAAGGCGTCCGCCATGGTGAGGCTGGGCTAGGCTGGTAACGGAGAATGGGCAAAGCAGGAGTGGAAGGACTGCGGGACCCCGGCTCCCAGCCCGCGCTGCCGCTTTAAATAACCCCCGTGTCACGTGACGAGGCGTGGCCCACCCCCACCCCATCCCAGCTCCCGAAATAGGAGGCCCGGGTGGCGCTCACCCTCCGGGGGCTGGCCGCCCCTCCCCCAGCGCGCCGGGGCGAAGTGGGCAGCCGGCGGTGCCAGGCTAGCCTGCGTCAGCGCCGCTGCCGGCCTCCGATCCCCGCCCGGAGCTGCGGGCTGACCGACCGGCTTCCTCCCGGGCCCCCACGTCTTTGGAATCCGAGAAGGAAGCCTGGGGGCGCGGTGCCGGCGGGCGGGGGCGCGTGCCCCAACCGTCACTCGTCCCCTCCCCTCCCCGGCGTGGAGCTCGGGCCGAGGTGAGAGATGACAGGAGAAAGGAAACCCGCCCTGGGCTGATGCCCGCGTTGGGAAAGCTCTGGCTGGCGCGGGCATCTCGGTCCTCGCTTTTTCCAGGTGCGGAGACGGAGGGGACCTGCCAAGGTCGCAGGAAACGAAGGTGAATGAGAGCCCCAGTGCAAGCAAGCCTGGTCTAGCCGGCTCCCGAATCCGCCTCTCCGACCACTCCCCATGCCTGGCGGCGGGGAGAGTGACCAGGGCACCGTCAGGGGCTACGCTGCCCCTGTGCCCTCCGACTGCTCCGGCGAACGCGTGACCCCGCCGCCATGCCCGCCCCACACGTGCTCGCCCCGCCCGGAGGAATGTCCGCGGTGCGCGCGCCTTTCCGCCCAGCAGTCCAACTCCCCACTCACCCGGCCAACGCCCCAGGTCTCTGTGACCTCTGCGCACAGCCCTGGGCATTTGCTGCTGTTCTTCCAGGTCTCTCGCTGCTGTTCTTCCAGGTCTCTGTGACCTCTGCGCACAGCTCTGGGCATTTGCTGCTGTCCTTCCCCCTCATCCTCCTTCGGAAATTCTGCCCCTCACCTGCTGCCCTTTCTCTAATCTTTGTCCACCTCCTGTAAGGAGATGGCTGCATGGTGGACACTCCACAGTCCATAAGGCACCGTTAATAATAATAACCTGCCCGGCTGGCGGAGCTCAGTGGTTGAGTATCTATCTACCTAAGAACCAGGAGGTCCCGGTTTGTTCCTGATCAGGGCACATGCCTGGATTGTGGCTCCATCCCCAGGAGGGCGTGTGCAGAAGGCAACCCATCAATGATTCTCTCATGGATGTTTCTATCTCCCTTTCTCTCTGAAATCAATAAAAATATCCTTTAAGAAATAATAAGCTGAAACCGGTTTGGCTCAGTGGATAGAGCGTCGGCCTGCAGACTGAAAGGTCCCAGGTTCGATTCCTGTCAAGGGCATGTACCTTTGCTCCGGGCACATCCCCAGGAGGGGGTGTGCAAGAGGCAGCTGATCGATGATTCTCTCTCATCGATGTTTCTAACTCTCTATCCCTCTCTCTCCCTCTCTGTAAAAATAAATCAATAAAATATATTTTTTTAAAAAATAAGACCCGCGTTGTATTGACGTGTGCTGCATGCTGAGGGCATGAAGTACATTCATGTTTCATTGAACTTTTAAAGCAGTCCATGATATAGGTATTGTTATTATCCCTGTTTTACCGATGAGCAAACCAGAGCTTAGCGGAACCATTCATTTCAGTTATTAAAGCACCTATTTTGTGCCAGGCTCTGGGCTAGGCGCTGGAGAGACAACCATGAATAAGACACATATAACTCACCTTTGGGTGGGCAGACGCAGAACTATCGTGGTGGCTTTAACGGAAGGCCTGGCCTGATCTAGTGGCTCAGGGAAGATTACTTCCCAGAGGAAGTGGGGATAAGCAAATCCCTGACAGGAAGCTCTGCGTTTGTTAGGGGCAGAAATAGAATATGGGGGACCAGCTATAATGATAAGAAATGTTAATCATGCTCGGTAACTGTGATTGTTCTCTTCTGATTAGAGAAAGCATAATCTCACCCTGCTGAGAGCTATACTCCCTGGAACATGGGTGCTAACATTGGAATGCAGTCCATCCTCCTGTCCCGAAAACTGCCTATCATTATGAAAAGATTTACAACCTCCTGGCTGGAACAATCTAGTCCCAGAGGCACCCACTCTTTACAACCCCAGTCCCTGTTACCTGTAATCTGGTCTCTACTTCCTCCCTGTGCGACCCCCTCCCTCTGCCCACCTCCAGCCCACATGACTTGTAACCTGTAATGATTACCCCGTGCCTGCGTTCCCATACCTGTGATGCCTACTGTCCCACGTAATCTTTGTCCTTTTACCCGATATAAGCAGCTGGCTTATGGGGAGAGGCAGAGCACATTTTTGCGAATGGCCTGCTGCTCTCCCAGAGTCAGCAGTTTTGGAATAAATGTTCATATAGGTATGATTCAAGTACTGACAGGCAGCCCAGACCCCTTGGTGGTCCCGTTACACATTGGTGCCCAACCGAACAGGACACCCAGGGGGACATGCAGGACTGTAGGCCCAGTAGCCCCGGTCCCCGGCAGCTCTGCCACACATTTCCAGTGTGGCCGACGCCCCTTGCTGGGCCTCTGTTTCTCCATGTGGAAGCGGAGAACATCTGCCCCTACCTCCGTTTCCCTGACTCTGTGGGAAGGAGGCCAGGAAGGAAGAGCCCTCTTTCCCCCAAGGTCTCGGTTCTTTTGGACAGATCCGCTTGCCAGAAGGCTGAGGGGCCTATTTCTGCCAAAGCTGCAGGGACAGGCCTCAGGGCTGGGCACGGAGCCTGGTGACCTCACTCCTGGAGCAGGTGCCTAAGGGAGGACGGGAGTGGGAGGATTTCTGACTCAAGGTCACAGCCTTTAGACACAGGGCCTTCTCTCTCAAGGACTGAGTGGCCGGAGACCCAGGGGCCAGAGCTGTCTCCCTGCAAGGTCTTTTCAATGCAGTGCTGGAGAGCTGGGGCGCCAGACAGATTGCACTGGGGTCCAGCTATGTAGCTGTTCACTTAGGCTCCATTGGATCTTGAAAATGGAGGTAATGACAGTATTTACCCCATAGAAATGTTGGGGGATCAAATGAGAAAATGCATTTAAAATGCCGAGCATGCCGAAACCAGTTTGGCTCAGTGGATAGAGTGTCACCTGCGGACTGAAGGGTCCCAGGTTCGATTCCAGTCAAGGGCATGTATCTTGGTTGCGGTCACATCCCCAATGGGGGGTGTGCAAGAGGCAGCTGATCAATGTCTCTCTCTCATTGATGTTTCTCTCTATCCCTCTCTGTAAAAAAATCAATAAAAAATATTTTTTAAAGAGAGAGAGAGAAAGAATTAAAAATAAAATACTGAGCATGGTAGACTTAATAAATTATGTTCACTCCTGCTGCTGCTGCTGCTGCTGTTGTTGTTGTTGTTGTTATTATTATTATTATTATTATATCCATGGACAGTACAGGAGTCCTAAGACCTGGTCACAGCACTGCCCCTCACCTCTGGGCCACCCACAGCAGGTAGCTTTGCTTCTCTAATCCTCACTTTTCTTTCTTCTGAGACAGCATTAGAAACTGCTGCAGTTGGGAAGAAGGGGTGATAGAGCTATTTAGGACGGGTTGAGGAGGATACTGCCAGGAAGTCCTCTGGGACCATGTTGAATAGCATGGTGCTTTGAGGAACTCTAGACACACCTGAGACCACTAGTCTCGCTGCCCTGCCCCCATCTCCCATCATGCTCAGACCTGAGTCACCAAAGTTGACTCCTAATCCGCACCCTATCTCGTGTCTGCCTGGTTCTCAGATTTCTTTCCAAGTGTGCACAGTTTTCTCCTCATCCCTCTGATTACTGCATCCTCCTTGCCCTGCTAAGCTCACTACCGTTTTGGAGAGAGGGGCAAGGGGAGGAAACATGAGTCCTGCCCCTCTTTCTTGCTCTTGGAAGGTCCAGGGTGGATATAACGTCTGGCAAGCAGCAGGACCAATCGCTGCCAAGAGCAGCATCTCCCCTATGGTGATATCACTGTTCTCTGTTTCCCTGGCAACCATGGGCTGGGAAGATAGAAAAGGAGATGAGTAACCAGGAGAGAGCCAATGAGATGGGCCGGCAGCACCGGGTGATCCATGGGGCCACAGGGAGGGGGGAGAGGGAGGCCTACTCAGCATCTTCAGCTGCTCCCTCCGCTGGGGGATTTACTGTTGGCACAGGGAGAGATGCCAGAATAGATGTCAAAGAAGCTGAGCTGGAGGCTCCACTGTCCCAGGGACATGGAGACTCCCTTTGCCCCTGTAGGGCCTACGCTTATGAATGCTGTCCGCCCCCACTGCACTCCTCCCCACGTTCCTGGAACTGGGAATTGTTCTCTTTGGCTGGTAAGGGTGGCGGGGCCCTGTGTGTCTGCCTGCCTCGGATCCCTCAGGCTCCTCCATACCCTCCAAATCCTCCCTCGGTGCGTGGTGTTGTCAGAAGCATTATAGCTGGAGACCCAAGCAAGTCCCTCTCCCCTTCTTTTTTAAAATATCCAAACCTGGAGAGAATTTTATAAAATTTATTTGAGCTCAATAGGAGATGTGCCTGGAAGCAAGGTTTCAACAGACTGGGATAAAAGCTTCCAAGACTACGTTTGCAGTCTCTTTTGTGCCTTTGAAATTAAGGAGGGAGCATAAGGAAGATGACGTGCAGGTAGGAGAAAGCCAGGTGGGACTGGGATTACAAATTGGGTAAGGCTGTGTGCTTTCTTGAGAGTTGTCATGCTTTAGAAGTAGGGGGCTGAGAGTGTGGTCATGCATTAGAGCTGCGGTCACCAACCCTTCGGACCTCACGGCCCACCCATGGTTGATGGGGTTGGAATTAGAACGAGGGTCCAAAGGGGGCATTTCAAAAAGGCCTTCACCTACATGCATTGCAGCTACGGGCAGGGCTTGCTTTGGGCAAAGATAAGCCTCTTACTAAAGGTAGAGGTTTGGGACACGGTGACCCACATGTCCCGCCCAGTTTGGAATTTATGATCAGATCA